AAGAGGGAGAGAGAAAAAAAGAGAGAGAGAGAAAAGAAAAAGAGAGGAGAGAGAGAAAAAGAGAGAGAAAGAGAAAAGACGAGAGAGAGAGAGAAAAAAAGAGAGAGAGAGATAAAAAAAGAAAGAGAGAAAGAAAAGGAGAAAGAGAGAGACAGAGAGAGCGAAGAGAAGAGGAGAGAGAGAAAAAAAGAGAGAGAGGAGAGAGAAAAAAGAGAGAGGAGAGAGAAGAGAAGAAGAGAGAGAAAAAGAGAGGAGAGAGAAGAGAGAAAAGAGAGATAGAGAGAGAGAGAGAGAGAAAAGAGGAGAGAGAGAAGAGAAAAGAGAAGAAAAAAAAAGAGAGAGAAGAGAGAAAAAAGAGAGAGAGAGAGAGAAAAAAAGAGAGAGAGAGAAAAAAAAGAGGAGAAAGAGAAAAAAAAACGAGAGAGAGAGAGAAAAAAAGATGAGAGAGAGAGAAAAAAAAGAGAGAGAAAAAAAAGAGAGAAAGAGAAAAAAAAGAGGTAAGAAGAAAAGAGCCACCTACTTTTGCTGCATGGAGAAGGATGTAAGATCCTGCAGTAAACAAGACTGCCTCCTTAGCTTTCTCTGGCCGATCCACCAATAAGAACTCTCCTCGACTTGTTTCTTCAGACTCTAGTCTATTAACACAACAGATAAAAATATATTTCTATTAAAATTGAGTCTTATTATCTGCCAAAAAAATATATCATAAATACAGTTACATTAGCTAATAAAGTAAAAACTAATATGCTTCTAGATCAGCTATTGTTATAAAATAAAGCTGAAATCTAATTCCTTCCCCTTTTTTATGAACATGCATTCCTAAATGCATCTGTATTGTAACACTAGGAAAAGAAATCACTTACTACATCTTTATAAAGCAAGACTAGTATGGATCTTTATCAGGGTACCTACTGCTGAGTGATCCATATTGGACACTGCCAGGGTTTTTGCTGATAGGTAGTTTGGTATTAGTAACAGAAGTCTGGCATCAAAAATAGATATCCCTCAAGATGTCCCACTTGACTGTGATAAGGGTAAAGATGGGCTAACAGACGAGATATTTCCTAAACAGAAGATTCACCTGTTGCCTCGTAGTCTTGGAAAGGCCACTCCTATGGCTAGTGGCGCTAGCACAATTAATGGCAATGATAAACCAAAGAGAATCTGTGCCATGAACGTGTTGAAGCCAACAAGGAGAGCAGGGAAGAAGTTGCTGCCACCCCAGTCACCAGTAAATCCTACAAATGCAGCAGACCAGTGCAATGAAGAGAAGGTTGGCTGATGCCCAGTTACATAGAATCCATGAACACTCAGGATGAACCAGACACTGAGGGCTGTCCAAGATGGTTTCAACAATGTTTCTGCAATAAAAGATAAATTTTGTAATTTACTTAAACCTACAAATAAGTCAAATACTTCACATAAAAATATATAATAAAAAAGCATAACTTACCAATATCATTGGCTGTCATCCATGAACACACGGCTTGTACCATGAAGCAAGACGTTGCAGTGACAACAAGAACTAGGACTGCTGGTGCCAAACCATCACCAGCAAGCATAGTCAGCACAACCAAGAGTGCAGTCACTATGCTTACTACTGGGGCAGACACTGCGGTAGCCAGTCCATAAACTACAGGAATATTGGAGTTCTTGGAGTTACCATCATGGTACTTTTCAATGAGCTTATGATACACTTGAGGCACAAAGCCATAAGGATGGTTAACAACAGGTCCAAAGCTTTTCTTAGGTGGCACCTCATATATCAGCAAGGGAATGCAGAACAAGGTTACAGCAAATAATATAGTAACTGCAAATGTTAATCGTGGAGGGACTACAACATGTTCACTGAGTGGAGAGTTCTGCAAAGGTGCAGCCTGCAGGGCCCAGTGTGCAGCTACAAACACCCCTGTAATAACTGGGACATAATTCACTAAAAGAACTCCAAGCCTTGAACCATTCAAATTGCCACACATAATGAGCCATCGTCGAGGCAACCACACCAACAAAACAAGGGCAAACAAGCTAGTAAAGTATCTCCAGTTTCTGAAACTCTCTGGCAGACCAATCATGGGGGTGTGAGCCTGGCTGGGAACACACCAAGGTTGTTCTTCACGGCATTTCCAGTATGAAGAGCTCCCTCGTACGGACACCAGCAGGACAATCACTGCCATAAAACATACAACATTGCGGACATTTAAAGACACTTTTACATTCTTCCAAGACAGTGTATTCAAATTTTTCTTTCTTTGTCGCCTCAAAAAGGAAATAAATGAATACATTATAACTAATGATAAGAGCATGAACGATATTACATAATTTTCTACAACAACATAACTGTTTGAAAAACTCCCTAAGTATATGCATAGTGTTAGAAAAAGAGAAAAGCCATCTGTGGTGCTAAGGTTAGAGCTCTTGCAATTCAGAGATCTTTGATGGAAATATAACCAAAGAACTATCATTCCACTTGCCACATACCCTATCACTGAAACACTGGCATAAGGAGTAAAAATGAACAAAGCATTGACTCCTACAGTAAGGGGCAGCAGCCTCTTCAAGACTAATGCATCTTTCATTTGACTGAGCACCATTAGCACAATAAGTGCCATAACTGCAACCATCAGAATAAGACCACTTGTCATTTCTGCTATGTTGAACTTTGCCCAGACTTCTTCACACATCATTTTTGCAACATTTAGGTATTCAATATAGGCCATTTTCTTTTCTCTTATAGTAAGCTCATCTAAATTTTTATTTATTTTTCTATTCAATTTTTCCAATCTATTCCACAACTCTCCAGAAAATTCATTGCCAACTTTCTTATATTCCAGCAAGTACTTCTGGACTTGTTGAACATTATGTGCAAGCGCCTGAACTTTCTTGCTCAAGACTTCCTCTGATGATTCTCCCTTTGTGGCCAGCAATTCTTCCACCACCTTACCCAGGTTAGAGTAAGGGATGGGAACACCAAGAGCCAGAGCAAGTGTGGGAACAATATCCACTTGTGACACCTGCACTGGATGAATGCTATTTGGGTTGGCAGGCATCATATTGAGTCCAGGACTGTAGGCAAAGAGAGCAGCTGTTATTTCACCTTGAGAGTCTCCACCATGGTCACCTGTCTTGGTCATGCCGTGATCACCAAACACCAAAAGTAGTGTGTCTGTCCCAATACGATCTGCCACATTCCTGCATGGTAAGGTTAAGGAAAATTACTGCAGGTCCTAATTAAAATAATATTAAAAGATATTCTATTCCTATTTTTGATTTGTTCACTCAATACAAAAATGAATGGCATGACTTTACTTCATGCAATAAGGAACCAGTTAAAATAATAGATACACATAAGGGTAATGCAACACAAAATAGACAAGCTTCCATGTCATCTCGCACATTTTATGATGAAAACAATAAATTAATTTACTATAAATACTGAACTATCTATCAGAGACAAAAACAAAAACATGGAAAATTGATAATTTATTACCCTTACACTGGGAACCTCATATCATAAAGTGCAGACATGTAGCATATTATTTTCCTTCAGCTATAAGGGAGTCTGTACAAGAAAAGGCAATATCGATAATAGTGTACGATATGCAACTTGTTATATCTAAAAGCAAAACAAGAAATAAGATAATAATTACAAATACAATATTACAACCATTGCAGTGCCGAATCATAAAAGGATAACAGTCAAGAACAAATTGTTGTTTTTTTCTACATGACATATTCTTAGGCAAATTCAATAGTCCTATACTATTTATACTTGCTTCTCCATTTTTTCAAACAAAAACCAACCATACTCGACACAATATGAAAACATACCCCTTCTGATATTTCAACAATCACAGACAATCATGCATGAGTTGCATTCTAAATATCACATCACATTATCATTCATGGAACATAACACTATCATACTGAAAAGAATAACTGAAAACCTCCTGTAGTCTGTTCACTAAAGTCTGACAGCTAAGTGGACTGAAAGCTAAGCTATGATAGAGAGGATGTAAGCCGATTAGGATGATGATATTTTTAATAATGAAGACAAAGAAACTGATATTAATTACAACAGTAACAATAACAACAATAATAATAATGATAATAATAATAATAATGAAGAAGAATAGTATCAATATTATTATTATCATTATTAGTAGTAATAGTAGCAGTTGAAGTAATAGCAGTAGTAGTAGTAGAATTGCATTAGTAGTAGTAGTACTGGGTAGAAGTAGCAGTATTGGGGTAGCAGTAGTAGTAGTAGTATTGGCGTAGAAAGAGTAAGTAATAACTACAATAACAATAACAATAATAAAAAAAATATATATATATATATATAATAATAGTAACATATAAAATATTACTTATAATAATGATAATCAGCCGATTTGTTAGAATTATGCGAGGCCCGACCCAAAGAATATTTATATACTTGACATACATAAATAAAGAAATAAATGCATTTTATCAGTCTAGACATTCTTATCAACCCAACAAATAGATGGTTAAATGTATATCTATCAGATATATAGACAGATATGCCATTATTTCTGCATCTGTATTTATGAAAATTCATTGCATCGGGCCTGGCACAATTTTAACAAACCGGCTTCGTATAACTTCGTATAATGTATGCTATACGAAGTTATTACGATTGTTATTATTATTATCATTATTATTATAGTTATTATTATTGTTATTGTTATTATTATTATCATTATTATTATTATTATTATTATTATGATGATGATGATGATGATGATTGATGATGATGATGATGATGATGACGATGATGATGATGATGATGATGATTGATGATGATGATGATGATGATGTTTGTTGTTGTTACTGTCATTGTGATTAGAATTATTACTATCATTATAATAATAATAATAATGATAATTATTATTATCATTATTATTATAGTT